CGTTGTGCCATACAAGGATTGATGGATTTCAATATACGTACATATTCTCTTGGATGCAAATACAACGTCAAATTCTTCAACTCTACTGAATTCCAACCCGCATATGTGAACGATCAATATTTGGCAAATTGAAATGCTTTATCACATCCTTTGACAAATAATGAATTACACACATCTTTATTTTCATCATGCCTTTCTTACATGGTTTTCCTATCCTATGTTTTCATCTCAGCATCCATTACATGCTCATACAATGGGCCCCTTTATCCCGCACTCTCTTAAACCAGCAAATTCATCATCAAATTTCAAATGAAACATATTGAATGACATTTCAGAGTTCAATCCAGTACAGTTAAACAACTTGGACATCACCAAAGATCCATTTCATTTTGGAGTATAAGGAAAAGAAATGTTAATAATTACTAATCCAACTCTGACCAGGTAATTAGCATCAATGAAAGGATCATTGGCTGCTTCCATTTTCACATCATGCCGAGATCAAGGTTGCTATGTGCATAACCAGACTTATGATTCGACCAACCCCTGCATTAGACCATTCACACCATTAGTCAGAATCCAGACAAGTCTTAGGGTAAAAAATGTTAATAGTTCCTAAGCCGATGCTTACTATGTACTGCTACTTTCGCTTGCCAATATGGCCTGTCACTTTCCTATTAAAATATATTATAAATACAAATAATAAGGCATTAACTGCCATGATCACCACGTTCTTCCACTATGCCACCTATTCTCAAGCTTAAACCAACTTCCTTCCGTGCAAGTCTATATAAAGAACATTTCCAGCACGTGAAAAGGTTTGCTGCCATCCAAAATATTGACTCTTTTCCAGCGTGCGGTATCAGTGATGGCTCTCCGCAATTTAGCCCAATTGAACCTCTATGACAATGACCAGGCTGTTCGCGTCAGGCTCCTGCGTTTATGGCATACAATGAGGCCTGATGGTGTAACGTTTGACCAAATCCACATGTTGTTTCTCGACAACCAGGTACTTTGATTTTATAAGCCTTCTATTCGTTACATGAGTGGGAAGTACGCTATTCAATTCTAAAAATACTCAAAGATTTTTTACCGCGACTTTTAGGGAACAGAGATGCAGGCCTTGGTTGATATTCTTAATGTTCAGTTGTTTGCTCCTCTTCTTCACGTGGGAAGGATCTATTTCTTGAGCAACTTTTTGGTCCAAGAATATGATGATACTTATAGAGTTGCTCCTGCAACTATCCGAATCCGCTTTCATAATGATACGGTGATTGAGGAACTCCAGAATGCAGCCGACATACCAACATATAGCTTTCGGTTTTTGGCTGCTAATGATCTTCCCTTTGCTGTCCATAATCATGAATATTTGTCTGGTATTTCTAATTCAAAGCAAAGCTTTATTTGGCCCGTTTGGTTTTCATATTGTGTGCCTAACGATATGTTTGGGATCAGATTTAATTGGGGAGGTTGAAACTGTTGAGCAAGAAGAGGTCCTATTCGAAGATGCTGCTATTTTACGGCGAAAGGGAGTACAGCTTAGATTGATTGAGTCAGTTGGTTGTTTCATTGTACATGTTACATTTGAAGTGTGCTTACCGTATGCAGCCCATTCATGCATCTTTTTTTTAAAAAAATTTTAGGGGACCTATAGTTGATGTCGTCTTATGGGATGGTCTAATTGACGAATTTCAAGCTGTGACACCTAATGATCCTTTACCAGGAACAGTAGTTGTCTTCACTTCCGTTGTTGTTCGCCACTTCGCAGGTCTCTTACTTGGTTTTCATTCTAATTTTCGAACCTGTTCTTTTAGTTTAGATTAGTGGTAATTGAGTTTTTAGATGTTATGGTTTTAGGGGAAGAATATTGTGTGGGCTCAAATGCAACGAAAGTATATTGCAACTTGCACTATCCTCACGTGCACCCCCTGCTTGATAAGTAAGTGTTTAACCTTTGATCAATAGAATCAATTCTTTTATTATTCTTATTCTCATGTTTTGGAATTTTTTTTTTATTTACAGTATAGAAAATGTCCCGCTGGCCATTGACTACACGTTGGAGGATGCTATATGGTTAAGTGAGATATGTTCCATTTCGGAACTGAATCTATACAAGACTGATTTCACCAACCAGGTAGTTTATATGTACACTCGGTCAACTCCTACAAAAATTTCAACATTCATATTTTGCTCCCATTGAATATCATAATTGTTGGCCTGGACACCATGGTTGGATGTAACTGCGTCTCTAATGCTCTAACTTGACCAATAAAATATCAATTATCCTCTTACCATTCCCAAATGTAAGCTTTGATGTGGTTCATATTGCAGGGGAATTTGTACCTTACTACTGCAACAGTCAAGGATGTTACTGTTTCTTGGTCAAGTGTGCACCTCAAGTTTATGGTGAGGCTGACTGTTGCTACTGGTCCTCATGAGGCTTCTATCATGTTTATGACTACCAAGTTCCGGTGGATAGCAAGCCGTATCATTGAGGCTACAGACAAGGAATGGACCAATGACTTCAGGACTCTCCTAGCTGCTCTCAGGGGGAATATATTGAAGTTTATGATTGAATTCGGAGATTTCAACGGCCAGACCAATGAGTTTGATTTGGTGCTTCGCAAATTATTCTGGTAGAGGGGGTGACGTACTTGAACAGTGCTTTAATTCAAAGATAATTTCTGTATAGTTGTTCCAATTATGAATGTTGAACTCTTTCCCCGAATAGATTATTACTTGGCTGCTCCATCTATCTCCTGTGGTTTTTACCAATGTGATGCTTATTATTATGTTCCAAATATTACAGCCCACTTATTAAATTTCATATATTCGTATAAACATTTTAACTGAACAATTTGTAACTTAAATTGACCAAAGAATGAATTCGTTTTCATTTGATTTCATGTTCCAACGTTTGTCAAATGCGCCGCTTATGTTTAGTTTACCCGCCCAACGGGCTGGGCCCTGCGCTAGTTCCTTTTAATAGATAATTCAGTCCTCCCGTTTTTTAAACCGGACAAACTGGCTCTTGTATTATCTTGGATAACTGCCCGACGAGTCCAGCCCAACCCCCAGGCAGGCTGACATGAAAGCCCAACCCAACAAAAACGTGGCTGTCGTTGGACCATCTACGTCCATCAGTGTCATTTATTTGCAATTTGAAATGTATTCTCTCATACAATTTCGACGACTTTAACAATAACATTTTTATTCCAAATAATCTATGCATCCAATTCAATTGATATTTTTGAAATAAACATATTCTTTAAATACATGTATCATTTAAAATCAATCAAAGGGGCGAGGAGAAATATTTGAGAAAAAACATTGTCACAAAACCCAGTTGCACTCAAGGGTAACGATGATTGTTAACAAACTTTGTTCATATTGTTTCGGTCATGGATGCACGAGTTGATTATTTTGAGCTGAAACTATACAAATATACAACTAAAACAACTCATCTTTCCCTATAACATTGTAATAGAAAACTTGGATTTTAACTTGAAATACAAATATATTTTGATGTGAGAATTGTCGATATTAGACTCAAATTATATTATATTTTTGTATACGTTCTTTTGCCATCAACAATTGAATCCTTCTTTTTTATGACAATCAACATTTCAATCTATGCAAGAATCAAAACTAATCTCCATTAGGATATGTCTAATGTGACACTATTTATTATAATGTTATAGGTAACAACAACCCAGCTGTCTTCCCCGTTCCAAAATCTTAGCAGAAAAGCTCATCGCAAGAATAATAAAACAAGGAATCATATGCAGGCAGTGGATAAATTTCACGTGAGGAAAAAAGCGAGGGAAGAGAGAAAGACAGAGCAAATGCACTGGCAAAAAGCACAAAATATAATCACAATAAATTAACATATAGCAAAAAGTCATTATTAAGAAATAAAAAGAGAAATGGAACGACGCGAGCTCGAGGCCAATTCTCAATCATGAATCATGCCCGTTGGCCGTTGCTATTTTGCTAAGCTCACCTGCCGAATGACCAAAATACCCTCTAGGTTTAGAGGCGAAGTGTTGGGTTTCTTACCAGCTCACCACAGCTGGATGCTGGAGCCAGGGGGACGGTCGGGTCACCAATTCCAAAAGGGAGCTAGCTAATTCGGAGCAAACAATTCTTTTCTTATTTATTGTTCTCAACTTTGGTAATTAGTGAAAATAAATTGTTCATTCTTCACAATTTCACATGCCTTATTTCGTTTATAGCATGTATTCTTGTTCGGTTGATCATATGTCGTGTGACTTATAGGATATAGTGATTGGATATGTGTAACAATAATTTTGAAATCAATTACTATTGTGCGCATTTAATGACTGTGTGATTGTAAGATGCGAGATAAAAAATATAAACACAGTTGCGTGTCTCGTGATTCACAACTCACACAATCACAATTACATAACTTCAACTTGGGTTGCAATGAACAGAGGATGATGACTAAAAGTAAGTGAAGAAGAGAGGTAAGGATAAAACGAGAGAATTCGAAATATCCAATCTCAATTTGTGATCAAATTAAATTTCAACTCACATATGTAAAGTGACAAATTACAAATCAAACACCTTATTTTAAATCACAACTGGACTCCACATGTCTCAAATTCTTACAATTAACTCAAAATATACATATTATTCCCTAACTTAACCTTCCAATCAATCTAAAATGGTTATATACTCTAGACTTGAATGTTATTATGTCTGTACATCAGAAGAAGTCAAACGAGCCAAGTAACCCAATTAGTTGATGCCTGATGGAGTATAACTTTGTTTTATACATATTAAATGGCCAAACCCTGGTTTAACCACGGATAAAAAATGTTTAATATATAAAATCAACAAAAATGTCTGTTACAAACTTACAATATCTGATTTTGGGCGGGATTAAAGTAAAGTATGCATTTTTTTTTTATAATTGGTTTCGCGACCGGGGTTCCCCGGCTGAAAGCCTGAAACTGAAAATTTCCCTGCTGTGTCCGCCTCTTTTGACTCAGTCGTCTTCTTCCTTCATCACACTCTCCCGCACCTAAAAAAAACCCTTTTCCCCAGAATTTTATTTCGCTAAAGAAAAGAAAAAAAATTCCATCTCCTTCTCCCGGCCGAGAAAATCACTAGCAAACAGAAAGGGCGAGAGAAAGAGAGCAGAAACGAAGACAGGCAAATTGAGGAACAGTCCTGGGCATCACCATCAAGCGCCCCAGGCTAGCCTAGCCACTCGAACAACCAACTCCATTCCACAGCCATATTCTTTCATTTCATCGTGGAAACTTGCCGATTTTCCTCTAAATTTGGCGGATCTACTGCTAAATTTAGAGGAAGAATAGCTGAAAGGGGGAGACACAGGGAGTGGATTCTAGGGTTTTGATACACACAACTGCAATCTCAAACACACCTACTCCCTCTTTGTCCCTTTGCACCTCTCGCCAAGATGATGATCTCGCGGGGACTCTTCGGGTGGTCTCCGCCACACATACAGCCGTTGACGCCTGTTTCCGAGGTGTCGGAGCCGCCGGAATCTCCCTCCCCCTACCTCGACCTCAGCGCTGAGGCCGCCGCAACTGGCGCAGCTGCGCAGGCCGAAGCCGACGAGGAGATGGAGGAAGCCGAGGAGATGGAGCAGCCTCCAGCTGCCGTGCCCTTCTCCAGGCTGTTTGCTTGCGCGGACCGGTTGGATTGGGTGCTCATGATCGTTGGCTCGGTTGCTGCGGCTGCACATGGGACTGCCCTAGTTGTTTACTTGCATTATTTCGCCAAGATTATTGAAGTTATGCGGATTGGTGGTAGTAGTAGTGCGGAGGAGCGGTATGATAAGTTCATGGATGTGAGTGTCAGTTGATTTCTCTCCTTCTCGTCGGCATTTTGAGGCTTTGTTACTTGTGTTCAAGGTGGATTAGATGTTACTTTAGGTCATGGCGTTTCTTTGGGGGTCTTTAGTTGATGCCAAACCTGCTTAGTCTTTCGGAAGTGTGATTTTGTTTTCTTGATTGAGCTAGGTGATTCATTCTATTCAATAGCTGTATCAGTATCAAGCATGGAACCTGGGATTTGTGAAGCTATTGTTTATATCGACAGTTTACTGAAAATGCACACTAATTATGCATGGCTGTTGGTCAGCTTGGTGTTCCTTGTAGGGTGTTTACTTTAATTCAAGGCCGATTGGTAACTGCACATATGAATTCTTGTGCTTTAAGACACGTCAAATTGCCTTTGAACTCAAGAGGATTTGTAGTGTGATTAAACTGGAGTAACTTAAGCTTGACGAAAGGACTTTTGAGAAATGAATACAGAGTAAATATTAGACTCTGATCTGAAATATGGACGTACTGAGTTATTTGAACATTGTAAGAGCGCTGCTTTCGTATATGTTGGTTGTAGGTATTGAGGGTTGCATTTTGATGAAACAAGGGGAACATTGTGGTTGTCCAGGACCTGATCTGTGTTTTTCGGCAATTGTTGGTGTCAGTTTCTGTCTTTAATGTATCGGGCAAACAGTTTACTTCTCTGGACTGCCGACAGTGAATAATTTGGGATAAAATTTTGAAGTTTGCATGGACATAGCTGGAAGTTACTAGTCAACTTTTGGGGTTTCCAAAAGATCCTGTCTATGTTATTTGCTCGGGATAGGTTAAGCGTGAATGTTGTAAGATGTAATGGCTAGGTTGTGAGAATTTTCTTCTTCCAGCTATTATCCTCAATCTAATTTGCTCCCGAGATTGTATGTAAGACTGGATGGCATGTGCTGGTTTGATGACTATTGAACATTGTTGGACAGTTGACGTGTGAATGTTTTCTTCTCGGCTTCTGGTTTCTTTACTGCTTTAGCTGGGTATACAAGATGCTGCTTGACTTGTATGTGCTTAATGCTAGCTTAAGTATGACCTAATTTTTTAAACTTTTGCGTTTCTCTTATGCAGCTCGCTTTGGCCATTGTTTATATTGCCGGGGGTGTTTTTGCTGCTGGTTGGATAGGTAACAATGAGATGCTGAATATTGTTGTTTCCATCCCACTGTGACTTTTGTATGGCCAGTTCTTGATCTTGAGGTCTGAATGTCTCTTTGTAGAGGTATCATGTTGGATTCTAACTGGAGAACGTCAGACTGCCGTCATCAGGTCAAACTACGTTCAAGTGCTACTTAACCAGGACATGAGTTTTTTCGACACATATGGGAATAATGGGGACATTGTAAGCCAAGTATTAAGTGATGTGCTTCTCATTCAATCTGCTCTTAGCGAAAAGGTATGGCATTGCTAAAGTGTTACTTTTTCCTTTGTTTGAATTCTGTAATACTAGGTAACATGTCATCTGCCTTTTCGTGGTGCAGGTTGGAAACTATATACATAACATGGCTACATTTTTAAGTGGTCTTGTTATTGGATTCATCAACTGCTGGCAGATCACCCTCATAACATTAGCCACCGGTCCATTCATTGTTGCTGCAGGAGGCATATCAAATATATTTCTTCATCGGCTTGCAGAAAGTATTCAAGATGCATACGCGGAAGCTGCTAGCATCGCTGAACAGGTTTGTATGTTTCCTGTATAGATGAATGAGAGTGCCGCAACCTTTCATTAACTTGCTGAAGCCACCCCATCCCATCCCCTCCCCGTTTCAGTTTCTCTATTTGTGTTATTGAACTACATATCCTACTAGCTTCCTCTATATCTTATTGAATGAATTCAAACTAAATATGCTTTCTTGTCCAATTATTGCTTATGTTCCCTTGAACTATTCTCCTTAAAAGACTAGGTGTATCTAAGAATCAGTGCCGCATTCCATTCTCCATTCATCTGTTTCCAAGTAGGGGCCAGTTGAACTGATGGACTCGGATAATGACTGTGGTTGGTCGGGAATTAGGATGCCGTATGAGCTCATGCTTCTGTGGCATGGCCCCAGTATGAACCCCAGATGTTTCTTGGATAGTTACTGGACAGTGATCTTTTGAATTCGAAGTTATTTTACCATGATATCCATTATAGTTTCTGGATCATGTTCAGAATGCTGGACCTCCAATTGTCTGGCTAGACATTTGTCTAGAATTAGAAGTGAAAAGAAATTAGACTAGGAGACATTGTATTTTCTTATCCAATCTGTTCTCGCAACCGTTTGTTCTTGGTACCATTAATAGATGCTCAGATGAGTTTTTCTGTTATAGATAATTTCAAATGAAGTTTTTCCTCTGGGGTTGGTATAGCCATCCATTTATATTCTGCGCATATTTTCCAATCACTGAGCATGATACCTGCCTGTGCATTGTTTTTTGTTACTTCCTTGGTAAAGAGGCCAAGTCTTGAATGGTGTCTACTTGTGATTAGTTGGTTACTTTAATTTTTGAACGAAATTATTTGAGTACTGAATTTGTTTGGAAAATTGCAGGCTGTATCTTATATTAGGACCTTGTATGCTTTCACAAATGAAACTTTGGCCAAGCATTCATATGCTAACTCTCTACAAGCAACTCTAAGATATGGTATTTTGATTAGTCTTGTACAAGGACTTGGGCTTGGCTTTACATATGGGCTCGCGATATGTTCTTGTGCCTTGCAACTTTGGGTTGGTAGGTTCCTTGTTACACATGGCAAGGCTCATGGTGGTGAAATTGTAACAGCACTCTTTGCTGTAATTTTGAGTGGCCTGTAAGTCTCCCCTAATCTCACGTCTGTCTACAATTGCAATATAGTTTGTGATAATAGTTCTCACACGCGTTCTCTTGTCATTTAGTGGACTGAATCAAGCAGCAACAAACTTCTACTCATTCGATCAAGGTCGCATCGCTGCTTATAGACTTTTTGAGATGATAAGCAGATCCTCCTCCACTGTTAATCAAGAGGGTAACACCTTATCTTCAGTCCAAGGAAATATCGAGTTTCGGAATGTGTATTTCAGCTATCTGTCACGTCCTGAGATCCCTATCTTGAGTGGCTTTTACCTGACTGTTCCTGCAAAAAAGACTGTAGCACTTGTTGGAAGAAATGGCTCAGGGAAAAGCAGTATCATCCCACTCATGGAGCGGTTTTATGATCCTACCTTAGGTATGATGCCATACTGTTTCCTGTTCCCTTGTAAGCTCATGTGATGATTGCAATTGAAGCACAATGAATTTGTTTCCCTTGCTGATACTAGCACATTTCATTTATTGTGCAGGAGAAGTTCTTCTTGATGGAGAAAATATTAAGAATTTGAGACTGGAATGGCTGAGAAGCCAAATTGGACTCGTCACTCAGGAGCCTGCTCTGCTTAGTCTAAGTATAAGAGACAATATCGCTTATGGACGTGATGCTACTTCAGATCAGATTGAAGAGGCTGCAAAAATAGCTCATGCACATACGTTTATCAGTTCATTGGAGAAAGGATATGCTACTCAGGTGAATATTATAAAACACGCAACTCTCTAGAATGTTCTGTGCCCCCCTCTTCTCAAATCATTGCTATTACTTTTCAGGTGGGCAGGGCAGGCATATCCTTGTCAGAGGAGCAGAAAATCAAACTTTCTATCGCCCGAGCTGTGCTTTTAAATCCAACAATTCTTTTGCTTGATGAGGTCACGGGAGGGCTCGATTTTGAAGCTGAGAGGGCAGTTCAAGAGGCCTTGGATCTCCTCATGCTAGGCCGGTCAACGATAATAATAGCTCGACGTCTTAGTCTTATAAGAAATGCTGATTACATAGCTGTTATGGAGGAAGGTCAGCTTGTGGAAATGGGTACACATGATGAATTGTTGTCTTTAGATGGATTGTATGCTGAGCTTCTCAAATGTGAAGAAGCTGCGAAGCTTCCCAGGAGGTATGGTGTAACAACTATACTTAGAACTGCTTTGTTCATATCTGCTGCAAGCATGATTGTTTTTCCCAGTACCAGTTTGAATAATATTTATTTTGAAAAATTTTGTTTGCTTATGGAATCATCACTTTGTCCAGAATGCCAGTTAAAAATTACATGGATGCTTTTCAAGTTGAAAAAGATTCCTCTGCTAGTCACAGCTTCCAAGAGCCGACCTCTCCAAGAATGACCAAGTCTCCCTCTCTTCAAAGAGCTCATGGTGTCATGCGTCCTCCTGATGGCACCTATAGTTCACACGAGTCTCCAAAAGTTCGGAGTCCCCCGTCAGAGACAATGAGAGAAAATGGCCTCTCTTTGGATGGATCTGAAAAGGAACCAACAATTAAAAGGCAAGATAGTTTTGAAATGAGACTTCCTGAGTTGCCCAAGATTGATGTCCATGCCACACATCAACAAAAATCAAATGGATCTGACCCTGAATCCCCTGTATCTCCACTTTTAACTTCTGATCCCAAAAATGAGCGTTCACACTCTCAGACTTTCAGTAGACCCCACAGTCACTCTGATGAATTTCCTCCTAAACTGAAGGATTTGGAGGATGCAAAGCATCGTGAATCACCATCCTTTCACAGACTTGCCGAACTTAGCTTTGCTGAGTGGCTTTATGCTGTGTTAGGAAGCATCGGTGCTGCTATATTTGGCTCATTTAATCCACTTCTAGCTTATGTGATTGCTTTGATCGTTACTGCTTATCATAGAAGGGATGAACACTCTCACTTGCGTCATGAGGTGGACAAATGGTGCTTGATAATTGCCTGCATGGGTGTAGTGACAGTTGTTGCAAATTTTTTGCAACATTTCTATTTTGGTATTATGGGGGAGAAAATGACCGAAAGGGTGAGGAGAATGATGTTCTCAGGTAAACGATAAATCCATTACTAGTTTCCTGTAATAAAAATGTTGACCAATCTGGTATCAGCTTCCTGAGGATGGAAGTCACTAGCTTATTTGTGCTTTTTCTCTGACAGCAATGCTTCGAAATGAAGTTGGATGGTTTGATGATGAAGACAACAGTGCTGACACACTATCAATGCGCTTGGCCAATGATGCCACATTTGTGCGAGCCGCATTTAGCAACCGGCTTTCTATATTTATACAAGACAGTGCTGCAGTTATTGTGGCCGTTGTCATTGGGATGTTATTGCAGTGGCGATTGGCTCTGGTGGCCTTGGCAACCCTGCCCATTCTCATCATTTCTGCAATTGCCCAGGTGTGTATTTTCTTTTATGCCTCTGAACTTCCATCTAAAGTTTATAAAGCACAACTCGGACAGTTTTAAGAGACTTCAGGAAAAAGCTACCATCACCATGCCACCATCTGCCAACTCTAGTATTCAGGATCAGGTTGTGGGTTCTATTGCAATTTGGAATGGAGTGGACTGCCATTGTTATTCACTTTGATTCTTTCTGATGACACTCTGTAAATTGGTTGATTGTTTTTTATTTGTGTTTTTGGCTCCATATGACTTGCAAATTGTATTAGTGTAAGTTCTGAACTCGATACTTTGCTGGATGTGACAATTACTGATTTTAGTTCAAGTATCACAATCCTCCATACGATAGTGCAATGGTGACGTCTTTTGGCTTTTTTGTCTATATCAATGGACTGACATCTCAATGCTGACTTTAATTTATTGCAGAAACTGTGGCTAGCTGGATTCTCAAAGGGAATCCAGGAGATGCACCGGAAGGCTTCATTGGTTCTTGAGGATGCTGTTAGAAACATCTACACTGTTGTAGCTTTCTGTGCTGGCAACAAAGTAATGGAACTCTACAGGTTGCAGCTCCAGAAAATATTCAAGCAGAGCTTTTTGCATGGTGTGGCCATCGGATTTGCATTTGGCTTTTCTCAATTTCTTCTCTTTGCCTGTAATGCGCTGCTTCTCTGGTACACTGCCTATGCCGTGAAGGAGGGCCACATGAGTTTGTCTACTGCACTCAAGGGATACATGGTTTTCTCATTCGCAACTTTTGCGCTGGTGGAGCCTTTTGGGTTGGCACCTTACATACTCAAGCGCCGAAAGTCTCTCATCTCAGTGTTCGAGATTATAGACAGGGTGCCCAAGATTGAGCCTGACGAGAATTTGGCACTAAAACCTCCGAATGTCTTCGGTAGCATTGAGTTGAAGAATGTTGATTTCTGTTATCCAACCCGTCCAGAGCTGTTGGTATTAAGCAATTTCAGTCTGAAAGTCAATGGGGGTCAAACGGTAGCAGTAGTAGGAGTATCAGGGTCGGGAAAGAGCACCATCATCTCTCTGATTGAGAGATTCTATGATCCAGTTGCTGGTCAGATTACGCTGGACGGTCGAGATTTGAAACTTTATAACCTCAGATGGTTGAGGAGTCACATGGGTCTTGTTCAGCAGGAACCGATCATCTTCTCAACAACAATTAGGGAAAATATCATCTACGCTAGGCACAATGCTAGTGAAGCTGAGATGAAGGAAGCCGCACGAATAGCTAACGCTCACCATTTCATCAGCAGCCTACCTCATGGTTATGACACTCACGTGGGAATGCGCGGTGTGGATCTAACGCCAGGGCAGAAGCAAAGGATAGCTATTGCTCGGGTGGTGCTCAAGAATGCACCGATTTTGCTACTCGACGAAGCTAGTTCTTCCATAGAATCAGAATCCAGTCGGGTGGTGCAAGAGGCACTAGATACACTGATAATGGGAAACAAGACGACCATCTTGATTGCTCATAGAGCTGCAATGATGAGACATGTGGACAATATTGTGGTTCTAAATGGAGGACGGATTGTGGAAGAGGGGAGCCATGATGCCTTGATGGCAAAGAACGGGTTGTATGTCAGATTGATGCAGCCTCACTTTGGCAAAGGCTTGCGCCAGCATCGTCTTATTTAGGGTTTGGCTTTATCCATCAGTATGTCTGAATCTTGATTTTTGGTTATACAAGCAGCTGGCCTCTCGTCTGGTTACAAGTATAAAGGAATATGCTACTACAGGAGCTATATTTGTTGGAGTGTCGATAAGATGGCAGCTGTATCCAGAGTGGACAGACATGTGTATGATGATACGAAGAAGGCTTACAACAATGTTAATCGAGAGAAATGGGAGGTTGTGCAGTGGGTGAGGGAAGCTTTTGAGTTGTTAAGACTTTAGGATTTAGGAAGGCTGGTGATTTTGATGTTTGAAGGTGATGGTTGGTCAGGTCTGCTCAGGGTGTGGCTGGATGAAGATAATTCTTTGTGGAGGCATGGAGTGGTGTTAGTAGGTTGATGGACCAATGGTTTCTTGCCTCCATGGTAATATATATGTTTTGATTTGTTGATTATCACGTCGCGCGCGGGAAATGGACTAGAAGAAAGGGAGAGTAGTGTAAATCTATTTCTAGTGATGTGTGTTTGGGTTTTCTCGTTGGTTAGATTTCGAAATCTTTTATGGTCTTCTTGAATGTAATCGGTTTATGGAGCACTGCAGCAGAGTTATCGGGCCACTGTATATTCTTTTACCATACTGGAAGGGGTAAATTAAGGAGGAGGGAAGGAGGAGGAAGGGGCATTTGTTGTAATCTTTTTTCTGTAAATAACCACGTTGATAATTCTATAGCTTTTTCAACATTCCTCAACTACTGTAACATTGGTTGATGGTAATTGACATGATGATGCAATGGGAGTATGCCTTGGCGATAGATCTAGGAGCCCTGTAACTGGATTACAGTAAGGAATCATCAAATGTCGAGCAACTTGAAAGAGTCGGCAACAACTTTGAGCTGATTGCGAACCCTTTTCCACCGTCTCTCGTTTGCTCCTACGATCAGCGTGTAATAATACCTCCCTGCTGGAAGAAAAGGAAAGGATATGAACTCCATGAACGCGTAAACGAAATGGAGCACGAAAACCTACCCAGAAGAAACTCACCGTTGCCAATAGCAATGGTGGCCAAGGAGACGCTGGAGTAATTAGGAGACGTGAGCTCATACTCAAACGTGTAGTAATTTTTCCCATCCACGCTTTTCTGCAAGAGGCGCAGAACCAGAAAAGAAGCAGAGGCAAAATTTGAAGAGCTTCTGCTGATAAATCTTCTTCATCCACTTGGAAACATTTCAATAGCTATTTACGTGAAGAAACAGCAACACAAACCAACCTCTTGCATGGAGTAAATGTTGGGTTTTTGAGTTGGAGCAGCATAAACATGGCTGATCAAATCGGATATGACCTGCTCCTTTGGACCCAGTTCATGGATATCCTTCTTCTTCGTCGGCATGAACCTCGCCCTCACCACCATCAAAACACAGTGAATATCCAATGCAACAACAGAAAGGGGAAGATTGCTAGCATTAGGACTCACTCTCCAATCTGATGGGTAGATGTAGGAATACCCATCTTCAAGGTCCACATAACTCTGATACTTCTTCATCATCTCTACAAACACAATCCCCAGCATCAGAATTGTGGCATAGGAAAACCAGGCCAAAGAAGATGAGCTTAAAAAAGGCCAGTTCAGAGTACGTACCTTCACCAGAAGCAGAGTTTAGTGGGATTAGAGTACTTGTGGTGAGTGCTCCTCCCAGCCCCAAAACCAGTTGTCGTCTCTTCAACTTGCCTTGCAAAAACCGCAAGCAATTCCCAAATTCAGTGACTGATGAGAATGGAAATGGATTAGACTGGGAATTGACTGAACATCAAATACTATTTCTCACTCACTAGCTTCTCCATGGAAGGACGGCTCCGACGAGAAACTGACGGATGGCTCGTTGCCTGCTGATGAAGTTAAGGAAGAGACGGGGACCCTTTTGGCTATTGATGCAGAAGAAGCTGCTGCTGCTGTTGAAACCAAGCTCATTGACAGTGATGAAGCTACAACCATCGTCGTTGCTTTGTTTCTTAACCACTGACCAGAGTGATCCTTTTCAGCTGAAACGAACTTGGAATAGTGGATCCAAAGCCCATGTCGGGCCAAAATCCTATCTTTTACCACACCCCTTAAATGCCTGCCGTAAGCCCAACAACCAGAATCCGGCCCAGAAACGTTCCTTGCTCGGCGCGAAATCCCCGTCCCCCAAGTCCTCGAAAACCCTAATTACTATATAATACAAATCCTCTCCAAGTTTAATCCTAATCTCCTCCATCAAAACAAAATCCCTATTCCCTTTGCACTTTCTCGATCATGGAAGAGTATCTCGCAGCACTCTCACGCTTGCACCGCCCGCCAGCGGCAGCGTCGCCGAATCCCCGTCCCAGTCCTCCTGCCGGCGGCGCCGGGGGAGGCAGCAGCATGTCGCTGTGGACCACGGAGAGGATCGAACGAATCGGATCCGCCGTGCGATCTCTCGCCTCTCGCGGAATCGCGGCCTCGTCCAGGGTAGAGGCGGCGGACCTAATTTGCTACGAGATGAACGACCCGCGCATCTCGTCGGCGGAATTGCTCCAATTCCTCAATATCTTCGTCACTACCCGCCGCTGCTTGGACGGATCTATCTATTTCGCCCCGAAATCGGCCTCGCGTAAGTTTCGGCTTTTGAAGTCCCAGCAGCAGGGGCCGCCGTCGTGCCCGCGGTTGTCGCCGTATTTCGTCGCCGGCAACAGGAACATTGCCAGGCCGGCGCGTTTCGCGTGGGGACTGAGGCTGCACAGGATGTTTCTGGACGCGGTGGAGCGGCTGGGGGGAGTGGGGATGGCGGAGCCGGCGGCGATTTACCGGCTGATGAAGGAGTCGGAGCAGGAGGCTGGTAGTGGGCCGGAGGAGAATAATGGCGGTGGTGGTGGTCAAATTTTGAATGGGCTTACAGTGGGGGAAGTGGGCCGCCATCTTGTGCAGTTCCGGCACTTGATTGGGCTTCCCGGTGGAGGCCCGGTTGCACCATTGTCATCTCAAGGTGGAGATTCTTCGATGCTTGATTTCTTTGGGGACCTCAAGCTCTCTTGAGATAACAGCGGGTAGCATTAGTTTCGTCGTGAAATTTTTGTAAGGTAAAGAACAAATTGTGATTTTAACTGAAGTTAAAAGTATCACGTTTCTACATTTTCGTTTTCGATAACTTCTCTTTTCTGTGAAAAATGATGTGTTCTTTCGAGAATGTGATTGTTTGGAATATAACTTCAAATTTTCACAAATATAAATAGATTATTGTCACAATTCTTTTTAAGACGTGAATTCTTCTTATTCCCATTTACCTTCTCTATTTCATAAACACATAAGTATGTAAGATTGCTACTTCTAGAGTTAAAATTGAAGGACTCCTCGGAGTGATTTCCTCGAGCCTGCCAGCAATAGGAAAATAACACTCTAAAAAAGTGAATCATTCACGTCTTCAATCATGATAGCTCGACGTTGTCCACACATCTCTCGAGTTTGCCGGTCACGACAACTTACACGTCGTGGTACCTTCACAATATATTCATTGAAACAATTAAAATCACTTTATAATCTAACTTTTTTACATTAACTTCAATACAAATTAAAAATGAATAATTAACAATGTGTAGCACATACATTTTCATAATTAAGAGAGACTAATATGATTATTGAAAATAAATTTTACTATATACACACATACTTAATTAAGAGAATATGTTGCACCTATTCCACTAGGCTAAGAGTCACTTTGTGATAATATGTACATACTAGTCATTTTACTCGGTACTTTTGGTTTATACGTAAAATACCCAGGTGCTACATAACTTTCAAGATTCTCATGCTGTAGCTCCGCCTCGGATTAGTTAGTGGCGTCTAGGTACAGGTTACGTATTGTAGAATTTCTTTTTTACGGGAACAAGGAATTTCTTTTTTACGGGAACAAGAATATATAGGAATTAATTAGTGTACGTATATGTAAGTTATTTTTCATTAAGAAATTTTATTATTCAAGCTATATATTTTTCAATACGCTTAGAAATTAGGTGCCTAGCTTCACGGATGGCAATGAGTCGAGTCAGGGGCGGATAATGCATATTCGTAACCCTACCCAAACTAGTTCGGGTTTTACCTATATCAATGCCCACATAACAATAAGTAGAAAATCAAAACCATGCCCATACCCGTTTGGGTTTCGGGTATCCACGGTTATCCATGGGTAATAACTTCTCGTTATAACTCCTACCAACACCTTAACATTCACATGTATAATCACATTATATAAATGGAAAAAAGTATGACAATAAATAACTTGAATGAAGAAAATTAATTGAAAACATAATTTATGAAAATATTATATATGTATGCTAAATATAAAATATATTCAGAAAAATAATAATCATTTCTAGACAAAATACATATGAATGTGTATAATCAGGCAGGTACAAGTTGGATAGTGTAAAAATCGTGCAACTCATTACCCACATGTATAATCACATTTTACCCGTATTCTTCTAAGGGAATGCTAGCTTCAAGAATCAAGACATTGTATTGCGCACGTACGTGCTTAATTGTCTGAAGATATGTGCATTCACATCCGTGTTCAAAGATATATTTTGTACGTTTAAAACATGTTTAGTTGGTAATTATGACATATCATTAAAATCGACAACAAAAAACAGAAACGTGTTTAGTTCTTTGTAACGAAAAATCATAAGAACATTTCTCAATATACAACAAAGGAAACATGGATTGAGCTGCTGGGATCAAAAGACAATTTCTCAAAATGATATGCTTCAATCGAAAGAACTATTCTGAAGAATTGGAAGATGGTTTTCCTTGAGCAACAAATGGATCAACAGGAAATAATTTGTCGGCTTTAATCTCTGGTGAGCGGCGACTCCTCCTCCTCCTCCTCCGGCATCCGCGGCCAACACAACTCCACCTGAGAAGGTAAAGCTGTGTATTCGATCGATGGAGCAAAGAGGGCGATGGAGAGGACAGAGGGGGCGGGCGAGGGCGAGGGACGGGTGCAACATCTGTGGGGATTCGAAAAGTGGTCTGTTTTAATGAAATCAAGCGCCCAACCAACATGAATCCCGTGTGCAACATATTTAGGAATCAGATCCAAAGCTATAAATTGTTGTTTCTCATATTTGGGCCTTGTTGTGCAACTCTGATTCACAACAAAAAATAAAAACCCAACTAAACACGATTTTTTTCTTGGTTTTCCAAATTTCTTAAAACACAACAGGAAACAAAAACAAGCAACAATACTAAACGGGGCCTTAGCTTCTTTCTCCATCTAGCTAGCTAGCTGATCGGGAATTCGGGTAGATCGATAGATATGAACTGTATGTACATATGGATGTGCAGGCTAGCTCCGGCTGCATACCTTTTTCATCATGAACTAATGTACTATACTACACATAATTGATTGATTACTTCTCTCCGAGCAAATTAAATATGGATCTCCTTCTCATACAATGCTTTCATGTAATGCTGTGTTACTCATTTCTATGAAGAAATGGTATGCATGGGGAAAATACGAGCAATTTTTTTTAAGTTTCAGTAAACTGTACTTTTCTCAAAGTTGATAACACATTACTTTGAATACTTAACAAACTTGGATTAAAATTCCTTTAATTAATATTCGTGTCTGAGTCAATTGATCGAGTCTCACCTAGCCGATCAAAAACTTTGCAACAAATATATATAGTCAACACAATGTTAACTTATATCTATATGTTAACATCTCCATTTTAGATATTGATAGATTTTTATAACTTAAATTGATTAACAACACGATATATGAAGGATTCACACGTACCATAGTAGGATGTGTGTCTAGAGATATATGATGCGTTTATGGTTAATTGGTTCAATTTTATGTGAATAATTTTAAAGTTAGAATTGATTAATTGTGAAAAATCAAATGCGAGTAGTAATATAATTCGTGAAGAAAAAAATTATCCATCATGTATTCAAAATCGTCCCTAAGAATATGAAATGAGAAGTTGAAAATGTTAATTGATTCAATTTTATGTGAATAAGAATAATTTTAAAACTTGACTTGGATTATTACAAAAAAAATTGTGAAAAATCTGAAAGCTTAAGATTAAATTGGACTATCAAGCATATGAGTGAATCATCTTGCACACCAGACATTACATGAAAGAATCCTATATTAGTGGTCTGATATTAGTTTTGGGGCCAGACAAATAACTAATAGTTACACACATTTTTGAACTACAAATTCTAACGATAACTACTTACCATTAATTAGTAACTGAGAGGCAAAATAGTTGTCTTACTATGTTGTATTTTTACCGAACGATAATTTTTTTTTTGGGTACTATGTAAGCGCTTATACCTGTTCTCTAGCCTTAACTTCCGCGATTTATAAATCATAATCACTCGAGCTTAACCAAACTAAAGTTGAAAGGCAGACATAATCCTTAATTACGCTAATAAATTTCACAAAAGAGAAAACCAAAGAGAAGAATACAAAGCCATAATAATAATTAGGTAAAACACAATGCCGATTGACAGAATCGCCATCGGGAGCCCAGGAGAAGCAAGCAAGCCAGACGCACTGAAAGCGGCAACGGCCGAATTCTTTTCCATGCTCATTTTCGTCTTCGCCGGCCAAGGCTCCGGCATGGCTATTAGTAAGCATCCACGTCCAAAACCAAAACCATTGATGGTCTTATTTAAGTTCGTTATATAACTTTAATTTCCCATTGAAAGGATTCACAAAATATATTAGTTAATAATGTACGTTATATATCTTCAAATAATATGTGGATTAGGCAAGATCACCGATAATGGGCCGGCAACGCCGGCAGGGCTAATAGCCGCGTCTCTGTCCCACGCATTTGCTCTCTTCGTGGCGGTTTCCGCTGCCGCCAACACCTCCGGCGGCCACGTCAACCCGGCGGTGACATTCGGGGCATTCGTCGGAGGGAACATCACTTTGTTGAGAGGGATCTTGTATTGGATTGCTCAATTGTTGGGATCAGTCGTGGCTTGCTTGCTCCTCAAGTATGCCACCGGTGGATTGGTATGCAAGAAACAAACTTAATTTAGTGTCGTCATAGATAATTTTAGTTTTCATCTCTTTGATTAAACTCATTAATAGATTTGATTGAATTGTTCTTTTTTTTTATAGCAAACAACAGCTTTTGCGTTGGCTGGAGGAGTGACCGCATCAAACGCACTAATTCTGGAGATCGTGATGACGTTCGGATTGGTGTATACAGTGTATGCGACGGCAGTAGATCCAAAGAGAGGGAACATAGGGGTTTTGGCGCCAATTGCGATTGGGTTCGTGGTTGGTGCTAATATTTTGGCAGGTGGTGCATTTGATGGTGCATCCATGAACCCTGCAGTCTCATTTGGCCCTGGCGTGGTCAGTTGGACCTGGACTCATCACTGGGTGTATTGGCTCGGTCCCTTTATCGGTTCAGCTATTGCAGCTATCGTTTATGACAATGTGTTCATAGCTGACTCGAGACATGAACCACTTCCTACTCGTAATTATTGAGAGAATACAAATCAAATTTTATTCATAATAAAGAAAAAAATTCATTTAGTTGTTTTATTTATTTATCTTAGACTATATGTCTTCTCTTTATGTTTGTTCACTCGTTTATGTGTAATAGGTAACACTTTTATCACATTCCACGTAAGAAAACTACAGAAAATGGTAATCATCTAAAAGCTTAATATTATATGAAATAGACTTAAGGATTTCGAAACCATGCCGAAGGTTATATCGGAAAATCACCGACAATATATTTTGTGTTATAATTGTAGTTTAATCAGTGTTCAATTGTATCCTACCACTAAAACCATTCAATTTAACTGCAAATAAATAAAAAAATTGGTTGGACCGCCGATACGATAAATACGGTTTCACCACAGTAAACGTTCTGCACAAAATGTTGATAGTAACGAAACCATTCAAGCGACGCCGTTGGAGGACCAAACGGTATCGTCTACAGGTAGCATTTTGCAGTTTTCAGTTTTCAGTTTTCAGTTTTCACCATCTGCAACCGTGCTACGGGAGAAACTTGAAAATCAAAACCCTGCAGTCTAGTCTAGGGTTTTTGCCTCCCAAATCGAACAATGGTGTTATCCAACAAGAAACTGAAGCAGAAGCTAAGAGAAGCAAAGGCCGAATCTTTGGCTTCTTCAATATCGGGGGAATCAGTATCCAATGCAAATGGGGGCGCGGGCACGATTTCGGAGTTGCAGGAGCGACTGGATGCAGCAAAACAGAGGATGCGGCTGGCAAAGAAGGACAAGAGAAGGAATTCGCTAGGGCAAGAGAATGATGACGGAAAGGACCCAACTAGCGGGAAGAAGGAAGTGCTGGAGAAAGGCGATGAGAAGAGAGAAGAGGGGAAGAAGAGGAAGAGAGAAGAGGGGAAGAGTGCCCAGAAGAAGGACGGCAAGAAGGCTAAAACGAAGGAGAAAAAGGAGAAGAACAAGAACAAGAAGAGCAAGGCAGCTGAAAATGGCGAGGACGAGAAGTCTGCGGTTATTGGTGGTGGAGCGGGCGAAGTAGAAATGAAAGGAATTGTTGAAAGGTAATAGGTTCTTCTTGTTTGCTGGAGTTTTACTTTTTATTCATTTTCGTTTGGCCTTTCATGATTCTGTGCTTCCTGGAAAGCTTTCCAGTAATTGTGTTTGTCGGGTTGGTTTGATTTTGGTCAACATCTTGTTTTGTGTGTCATATTCGATTCTGCAAGTGGTAGTTTGTAGAGTTCTGCCTCCTTAGTTAAAAGGTGTGACAATTTGATTCCCACAACTGCATTATGTTTTTGCAGTTCAGTGAGCAAGGACACTGCTACAAAAGTTTATGTTGGTGGTATTCCATACTACTCAACTGAGGATGACATTCGAAGTTTCTTTGATAGTTGTGGTACCATCACAGAAGTTGATTGTATGAAGTTTCCTGATAGTGGAAAATTTAGAGGAATCGCCATTATTAACTTCAAGGTACTCCTTTTGCCTGTTTCTCTGGCTATAGTATAGTGCTTGTTCCGCTGTTTATGTTGTCCTGAACGATCTTCTAGATTATATATGATTTTTCTCTTCGAATTATGATTGTTGTGATCTGTACAGAGTGGAATCCCTGTTTATATATCTTTGTTAGCAAGTAACCATATGCATGTGCTTTCCGATCGGTAGTTCCTAACCTTGAGCTTTAAGGGGTAATGTTTGCTGGGCTATTGCAAAATGTCTACCAGTAGAGTATAGTTGAGTGGGTTTCCTAGGGAGTGTTCCCCTGGTAGACATCGATTCCCATGTTTTCAGTAAATTAAGCCTAAATGTATGTAGGTCAGTGTAGCATTACCTCTGCATTAGGTCAAGTTTCCCTTTCCAGAATTTGAAGATCTCTTATAAGTTTCGTATGTTATTGAAATGTTAGTTCTGACTTTAATGATTAATTCATTCTTTCAGACTGATGCTGCTGCCAAACGAGCCTTGGATCTTGATGGAGCTGACATGTACGTAGGCTATGCAGGCCCTGTTAGTTGATTGACTGCTGCACATGTTAGTAAATCCATCCTAGAACTCATATTTCTCAAATACATTGCAGGGGTGGTTTTTTTCTGAAGGTCAGACCATATAAGACAACAACTCGACAAATTAAGGTCCCTGATTTCGTCCCACAAATTGTAAAAGGTTACAATCGGATTTATGTTGGGAACTTACCGTGGGATATAACAGAAGAAAACCTCAGGAAGTTTTTCTCAGATTGTAGTATATCATCTATCCGTTTTGGCATGGACAAAGAAACTGGGGAGTTCCGAGGTTATGGCCACGTTGATTTCTCAGATGATGTCTCAATGATGATGGCACTGAAAATGGATCAGCAAATGCTGTGTGGCAGACCAATTAAGATCAGTTGTGCAGTTCCCAGGAAAGCAGGAGAAGCTCGACCAAAGGATGGCCCTCCACCTTCCAGAAGTAACAAAGTAAGTGATCCTGAGGTCGTTTCAACTCCTCCTGTGCCCGAAACTACTGCAGCAAATATTGGAGCAAGCAGTGATGAGAGCCCTACAACTTCGATCACCGAAGTTGTGAGAAATGAAGCCAGTATTGAGACACCGGCCCCTGTCAGTGGTAAGATAAAGAGGAGGACCTGCTATGAGTGTGGTCAAAAGGGTCATATCTCAACAGCTTGTCCGAATAAGCAGAATACTGATGTACCAAATTCAAATACTGATTGAACTGAGTCCAACTACCAAGTTTTGTTTTTCTTTTGCTCCCTGTGTTTGGTGGGAGAGATACTAGGTCATCCAGAATTATTTTTTGGAGGGTATCTGGCGATCATAGGGAGGTACTATCACAGTTTTGTATTCTAGAATTTTGATTTATTGACCAATGAGGGAAGTGGTGTAGTGGACTAGTGTTCTTTATCTGTCTGTTTATACTACATGTACCAAGCAGGAAGTTAAGAAGAGATCTGTTGAAATTCTAGTTTTTGTTCCTGCTCTGAGAGAACTGTGGCGATTTTCTTCTTGCCGCTGTTTTGGCTTCTTCCACTGGCAGCTCTGACACTTTGCTTTCTTAAGCTAATCTAATTTGCTATGCATGAATGTCTAGTGCAGATGATGGATGAAATGAAGGAATAGACAGTCAAAAGAGAAAATACACAGGAAGTATTGATCAGGCTGACACTGTGCTTGTTTATTAACATACTTGAATTTGGTGTTGACTGTCTTTAAGTGGGATGTTGCCTTGCACAGCTTCCTGGCTGAGAAAGCAAGGGACAGGCTGCCAGGCGCTTCAGGTAGGGCACTTGCTTAACTTTACCTTGAGATATCTCTCTTTTTGCTAGAGACAAGAAATGACATCCTAACTCTCTGTCTGTTCAATCTCTTCCTTTCACTTAGGAAGTTCCGTGGCAGTAAGATCTCTGTTTTTTATTACTTTCCTTGAAAGGGCTGGCTTTCACTTGTATTAACAAAATGAAATGTGTGTATTTTGCAGCTGAACTGGATTGAATGGATCAAATCCATCAGAAGTAATATAATTCGATTTGGTTCAGACTCAGTAAATTATTTCAAAAGCAAAAAATTAAAATAGGATCGAATTAGAGCATATAATGTTCTATTATTTAACTCTGACCCTCACTTTTCATTTATGTGCGATACCATCTCACATTGATATGGTTAGACTTGGACCCAACCGAACCATGTACAAAACTAACATTTAGGTTATACTTTACCTTACCTACAAAACTAACATTTAGGTTAAATTTTCCATTGCTTGTCTGCTTCCGGGAAGTCCCTATTCATTCAGGACTCTTTATCACCAGAAAAAAAAATCAATTATATCATTCAAGTGGATGTGATTTTTAACACTCCATTCCTTTTTGTAGTTTTCTTCCAGTGGTGAAAAATAGGTTGGAAAGTTGTCACAAACTGAAGCACTCTATCTCTGTCTCTTACTCCACAGTAGTTAGCTGAGAACAAATCCTATGCTGTTATAAGAGCACTCCTACATTATGCTTCTTTCCTCTACTCCAAAACATCTCTCTCCTTGCTGCTAGTAGAAAAATGGAATATGTTGGAAGAATAGAGTTGGCTACCCCAAGGCTGTATCACAACGACGATCTTACCCCTCCCCATCAAAATCTTGTAGCTTACTTGGATCACAAGCCTTCTCTCGAGTTCATGAACTTGAGAACTGACCTCAAGATCATAACCAAGAGAAAAGCTGCAGTTGTTTACCACATCTCACGTAATGGCCATTTCGAGCATCCTCATTTCCTGGAGGTCCCTCTGTCCTCTAGCAAAGGGCTCTACCTCAAAGGTAGGACTGCATGATTCTATACTGAACTAAGGAGAAGATCTTAAGTGTTTTTTTTCTTCTTCTGCAGATGTGATCAATGCTCTTAACGCGATCAGAGGTCCAGGGATGGCTAACATGTACTCATGGTCATCAAAGAGGTAAGAATTTCTCAATACAATCAAATGAAAGAAGTGAATGTTGCTTGTTCTGGTAAATCCAATGGTGAGATCTTGATTGTTTGATTGGGTAGTAGGAGCCATGGGAAACGATATGTATGGAAAGACCTGACAGACGACGACTTGATACAACCCTGCAATGATGATGGTGACAATGATCAATACATTCTGCAAGGGTCACCAGTCCCCGAGCTCTTCTCCACATGGAACTTAACATCCCCTGCTGACACTCTAACATCTTCAGCAACATCCAAAGCATCCTCCGACGCCTCCAGCTTGAGCGAGGACTTCGATTCTCCAGTCATCAGAGGGAAGAGCTTTGGCAGGGGCACCACCACATATGTCGATGCTGATGTTGATGCGGATGTCGATACTGATTATGACGATCACCATCGTCGAGGGGACAAGCTGCCACCACCTCGCACCATGACCATCTTGACCAATGAGATTGATGAACTGCTATACTCCGAATTTCCATCGCCAATGGATGGTGCTGCTGGTGGTGGTGTAGCCAAGAAAGTTGGTGCAAAAGAAGCTTACAACCGCCACAATGAAACTCTCCGTTCTGCTATGATGAGAACTACTAGTGACAGTGTTTCTGCATCTACGCCTCCTGAGCCAATAGCCAGAAAGGCTGCTGCGGGGAGAGTTGGAAGGCCAAGGACAGCTGAGCTTCTGTGGACTCTGTTGCGGTGTGGATCACGATCCATGAGGTGAAAAGAGAGATGGAGAATGAAGAAGTGGACAGGATGAAGATGAACCAGTTAATGTGTTAACTTGATGATCACAATGACTGTTGAGGGGTTTTTTTAAATAAGAGATTGTGATCATTGTTCGAATAATTACATGTCTTTGTAATCTTGATATTTGTGAAAGGAGAACTATTTGCAAGTAAAACATGTTGTAAAATATAAAGGCATTAATTATGATTAATAATGTATATAGAATTATAGACCAACACAAATTTGGAATACTTAGAATTGTGTGAAAATGAAATAAATAAAATTATATCTACTACAAGCTTTAAGAGTTTCATAGAAGAGAAATGGGTCAAATTGGAAAGGTAGAATAGAAGAAGTTAAAGTCAAGTGAGTCAAGATCAATTTTTAAAGGTAGGTAAGGGTATTTCTAGTCACCCATGTTTTGTTGTTATAACAAACACTTCTACGTAATAGGTAATTTGACAAAAAGGCTCTTGTATTATGTTATTTATCTATTTATTAAAATTTATCAGTGGCATGGTTGATTATGATCTTAAACCTCGTTGAATTACAATAAAAATTTATTTTTCGCCTCTTTATCTGGTTCGATCAATCAGTATTGTCTTGGCTTTATTAACTCCAAAACGAGGGAGATGTGATATTTAAAAGTTCAATTATAATTAGGACACAATACTAAGTCTATTGAGATTAGGATGTCCTCAAGCTCTAATAGTTTATTGAAATACACATTTCGTGATTCAACTATCGTAAATTACACTATAACATCCTAATCCTAACAAATATTAAAGTGATTGAAGCATTGAACGGTTCCCAATCAACATGATACAACGAATCAAAACTTTGAGTTGTAACATAATTGTACGAATCATCCAAAACGTAAATAAGAGGCTTTTTATAGAAAAACTATGAGTGGGTTATAACTTATAACTGAATACAAATTTTGTATTTGTAGTCTCAAAAAGTATATAAACAACATAAATTATGGGACATAAAAGTCAATAACATCGAAAGGTATTTGTTAAGGAAATTAAATTAGATATACGGTAGATAGAAGGAAATACAAACAAAAAAAAGTGATAATAATAATAATTCAGGAAAAAGAAAATTCAAGTGAAAGAAAGCATGTGCGTACAACTTTGGTCTTACGAGATCAACGCCTCAAATAAAAATTTCACCCAACCCATCGAACGTCTCTTCTCAATAACTCTCTGCTCTGCTCACACAATTCGCTCACGACGGCCTCCTTCCGTTCCTTCTTCGTCTTCTCGAGCTGCTGGGTTTTCCTTTCTGAACTATAGTCTGCCTTGCTTCTTTGAATTAATGGGACCCATCAGAGGCTTCAAGCGGAGGAAGAAATCTTCGGACCATAAGGTTGACCAGAATGCCTCACCTTCTACTTCTGCTTCAGCTGCTGCTGTTGCTGCGGAGGACCGTGGTGCTTCTGCGCCTTCTCTGCCCGATAAAGATGTTGATTGGTGGGATGAATTCTCCAAGAGGATCTCTGGTACGCCTTGCATTCTACTATTCCTTTCTTATTGCATATTTGGATGAGCCCAACTGCTGCTTCGTGGTTGCTCCTTTAATGGCCGGCCCCGACTGTTTCGTATTAGCTTGATTTTGGATTGTGTGAGGGTTTGACATGTTTCTTCTGTTTGGCGAGAGATTATGCGACGTGGGTCGATTCCTTTTTTCGCTGTAATTGAGCTTTGGTAATGGCTGCCCGCGACGGTTTCTTAGCTACTATATCCATGTCGCAATATGCTTTGCTTTGTGCCATTCTGCATCCGTGGATACTTGCATTGCTTTTCGTTCATCAGGATAAGATTGATTCCTCTGTCAGATCATTGATGATGGAACCTGGGAGTTATCAGTTAATTGGAGATGGGTTGATCTGGTTTTCCATCAAGGACAATGGTAGACTTTGTGGCATTCAAACTGCCATATTATGTTTGGGATTCTACCAACTTGTATCCGAGTTTTATTTATCCTTCTACTTACCTTCTCTTCACAGCTAGATCAAGGCTTATCTCCTAGTGGATTGGCTACATTGTGGCTTACACACCAAGTAGATTACCTACTAGTTTATGTTTTTGCATCATGACATGTTATTCAGTCACTTGAACGTGTCTTGTCTTCAATGTTTCTTCAGCTGTTTGGTTGTAATGAGTGTTAGTGTTGTGGTATATGATCCACGATTGAACCTCTCCCAACAACTTGAGTTATTGGGAGCTCTGATACCATGTCAAGAACCAGTTGCTCCCAATAACTCGAGTTGTTGGGAGAGGTTCAATCGTGGATCATATACCACAACACTAACAATGAGATCAATTTCAGGTCAAATCTTGTATCTGTGAGAGATGAGTTGCTCTAATCTTTAATCCTTTCAAAGTGATGATTTGTATATATCTACATTCCAGGTCCTTTGTCTGAATCAAAGAATGCAAAGAGTTTTGAGTCCCTTTTCAGAATTTCAAGGAAGACTTTCAACTATATATGTTCCCTAGTGAAGGACGATTTGGAAGCTCGGCAGTCAAACATCTTAGATCTAAACGGGAAGACATTAACTGCACATGATCAAGTAGCTGTTGCTCTCCGCAGGCTGAGTTCAGGTGAGTCATTAGCAAGCACAGGTAACGCCCTGGGAATCAACCAATCAACTGTTTCCCAAATAACCTGGAGATTCGTGGAAGCAATGGAGGCAAAGGCACTCCGCCATCTCCAGTGGCCAGCATCAGAAGTAGAGATTGGCCAGATCAAGAACAAGTTCAAGAAAATCCGTGGCCTCCCCAATTGTTGTGGTGCAATAGACGCTACACACATTCTCATGACTGTTCCTACAGTTAACCATTCACATGAAGTGTGGCTTGATCGAGAGAAGAAGTTCAGCATGGTATTGCAGGCAGTGGTGGACCCCGAGATGAGATTCCGTGATGTGATTGTTGGGTACCCAGGCAGCTTGAGCGATGCTGTCATCCTCCAGAGCTCGGGTTTCTTCAAACTATGTGAAGAAGGCAAACGGTTGAACGGCAAGAAAAAGGAGCTTATGGAAGGGACAGAGTTGGGTGAATACATTGTAGGGGATGCTGGGTTCCCATTGCTGCCATGGCTCATTACCCCATTCCAGCATGCTGCCCCGGGTCATCAGGTGGATTTCAACAAGCGGCATTCTGCATCACGTTCGGTTGCAAAGATTGCATTGGCAAGGCTGAAGGAGATGTGGAGGATAATCCATGGTGTGATGTGGCTGCCTGATAAGAACAAGTTGCCTAGGATTGTCTTTGTTTGCTGCTTGCTGCATAACATTTTGATTGACATGGAGGATAAGGAGTTGAATGGAGTTCCTTCCTCCAGAGATCATGACCCGGATTACAGACAACAGTTCTGCGAGTCAGTCTCGGAACCAGGTAGCGAGATCAGAGAGAAGCTCTCTCTATATTTGTCTGGAAAACTTCCACCTTGAGAAGAAAGCAAAGTTGGGGAGATTTCTTATATTCGTCACCAGTTTTTTCTCTGACATACAGGTATTCAGGATGTTGTTATACCCTCCTTTTGCTCATAGGTTTAATAGTTACTATAAAGATTGGTGAACCATTGAACATGGGTTCTCATTTATCTCATCAATCGTTCAGTTGAATAGACAGACATTGTTATCCTTTTCTTCTGTCTCTCTCAATTATTATAGGAAGTATATGTGTGGAATTCCATCATTCTTGTAATTATGGATAAGGAGTTGTGTGACCAATTATGCAATGCTTTTCATCAGGAAGCTTTAGATTGTTGATTCAGCCCTTTTTTTTTTCTCTCATTGCCCTTGAACGTTGTGATCTTCTTGAGGATTGCTGTGAAACATTGTACAGGTTACTCACAACTGACTGTCTAACTAAGTTCTAATGGAGGATTCCAGTCGTTTGGAACGTATTAAGAATCTATATATACATTAGGCAAGGGTTTGATAGCACCAAACTGAAGTTGACTTCAGCTTCTAGTGATAACCCTTTCTTGGAGAACTAAGGGCATGTTTGGAGGTTGTGATTGTGTAAATTGATGGATTCAATGAATTGGTGTATTGTAATTATATGTATTGTGCAAATTAATGTATTTCTCAAATACATTGTTTGGTATCTATGATTCTACTTTTTATAAATTAAAAAGCAACACACCTTTTTGAAGAAAAATACACATTTACCCTTCAACGTTTTGTTCTTGCAATGAAAGAAGAAGAAAAAAAAAAAGCAAAGAATTATCGTCGTCTCGCCGCTACCACATTGTTGCCGCTAGAATTGCAGAAACTTCAAAGCTTCCTCGATTTCAAAAATCAACTCCAGCCATCACAATTAATTACTTTCCCTTATATCCCTCTCAACTCAAATCCCCGCCAAGAAATCAATTACCAATTAGCACCATCCCCTCTAAACTCGAAACCCCACAAGAAAAGGAAGTGCGCTGGTCCCTGTTTCAGACAATATTAAAGAAGAATTGGGTGGAGGGGGAAAATCCATAATTCTCTATACGAGTTGGATCTACCGCCTAATTCAAGATCCCCCTGGGCCAATCTTCTGAAAACCCTAAGAGATATGAAGAGAAAAAGAAAGGCGAGGGCATGGTGCTGGGTTTGTGAGGTAGTAATTCGCTACAGAAGTCAGCTCTTCTTCTTCGATTCTCGACGAATTTCGATGGCGAGATACAGCTACCAAGCCGATTCCGTGATGATGGTGAGGAGGCAGCGATTCCTGTGGGACTTCAAGGATTAGCATGGACTGAGGAGCAGGGGAGTTCAATGATTTTTCTTTTGGTGGACTTCCGACGACTATCGTCAAGGGAGGAGCAGGGAAGTTTTCTCCCTTTTTTGGCTTTCGTAGAATTTTGATGACAAGGATAGAAGAGTAATGGAGGATGGGGTTATTGTTGGTATAAAGAAAATATAGTAGGGACAAAAATGTAATAAAAAGATATGACACAATCCTTTGTTTAGAATCTCAACTTTAGATAGAGATTCACAATAATTCATTTTGAGGGATTGTGAGTGGGCCCCCAAAAAGGTAATGCATGTATTCTCTTACAAATTTGACCAAAAAAACGACTTAATCTTCTCAATGCATGTATTGGCTAAATCCTTCATCTGAAATCCTAACCTCCAAACGACCCCTAAGATATCATCCTGGACTGCCATGTTGGAAAATGGAAATTAGAAAGTTCCTCAGTTTTAACTTCTTAGCAAAACTTGGTCTCCTTCGCCGGGTAAGTGACAAGTTGGGCCTGGTCTGGGCCCATAAAGAAATGAAATTTTGGGCCAACGTGTGAGCCCATTAGTTAGTTTTTGCAAAACGGAGCGGAATGGCGCTCGTCGTCTCCAACCTCGTCGAGATCGAAAAATTCCCAAAAACATTGTGGCGAAAATCTGAATTGGATCTAGATCGCTAGGGTTTTAGGGTTTAAGCGTGGTGGCGACAGAAATGGAAGCAAGGCAGCTCCTCAAGGACAAGAGATTCTGGGTCGCTTCTTTCCTGATTGCCTGGGCAGCTGCTCTTCAGGTAAACTTGATTTCATTGCCCTGATCTCTGAGATGGTTTTTCCCCCTGAAATCATGAAAGCTGGGTCCTTTTCGTTTAATCTGTAATTTCTTTTCCCTGGATCGAACAGGGGCATATGATGTGGTTACAGAGGCAAGACTCCTTCAAGCAGAAGTTTGGGACGATTGAGCAGAGCGCCAGTACCAGCAGCAGCAACGATGATGATGCAAAAGAAGAATGAATCCTCCTTGAACCCATTTCTTTTGTGAAGTCCGAAGCTTTCATGGAGCTTTGCCCCAATTGGGTTGTTCTTTCGTTCTCAGACCGAGATCAGACTGATTGTACCATACTTTTTTTCTTTATGGGTCAATAAAAAGTAATTAGGATGGATATAAATTTGCCCCCTTTTCCTCTGTTCTTCGAGCTGCCTTTCCACCCAAAATGAACTTAACCAATTTACTATGACCACCAAGTGTTCGACAAAATGTCTCTGTGAGAATTCACCAAAGGAAATTTGAGGAGCCACTTATGGGAAGTTTTGCAGACACCAAACGTCATTTGTTCTTAACGGGAACGAAGCCCAGAAAGGGAAAGCGTGAAGAATTGCCGAAATGAGCTTGTCAGCTTTTGATCGAGGTAAACGAGTTTCCATATCTATATCGGGAGGAAGTAGCCGTTGCGTTCAAAACCCCTGCAGCTATATCATCATCAAGCAAAACCCAGCACTCCTCAGCAGACAAAATCTTGTTCAGAATCACAAAAAAGATTTCAACCCTTTTTCCACCAAGATTTTCGAGCAGCTGCAAAGATCTTGGTCGATTCTGAAGATCGTGAAGAATCAAATCTAGGCAAGCGAATCTCCTTCCCCTTCTCTACAATGTCGAGCAATCCGGGGAACAATAGAAGGTGTGCAGGGTGCAAGTATTTGAGAAGGAGATGCCCCAAAGATTGCCTGCTGGCTCCTTATTTCCCTCCCAACAATCCCCAGAGATTCGAATCTGTCCACAAGATTTTCGGTGCCAGCAATGTCGCCAAACTCTTACAGGTAAACCAACCAGAATCTATTCTCATTATCTCATACCAAAATCCAAACATCGCTATATCTTAATCCTCAATCAATCTAATAGAAATAGTCTTAATTTGACATTAGATAACTAGAGTATCGGCTGCTAATAGTACCAAGCTTGTCATCAAATGTTATTTGTGATATTGAACGACAGCAAGTGGCAGAGGATCGGAGGGCAGAGGCAGCGGACTGCATGGTGTACGAGGCGAGCTCGAGGGTTAGCAACCCGGTGTACGGATGCGCTGGGATGATATATCAGCTGCAGGAGGAGATAATGAAGGTGCAATTGGAGATTCAGAATGTGAAAGGCAAGATAGCTTTGCACAATGCACAACAGTCGTTTTCGTCGGTGTTACAGCAGCAGCAGCAGCAGCTGCAGGAAGAGCACAAGGAGAGGGTTATAGGTGTTGTTGGAGCTAGTAATGATGTTCATCATAGGGGACTGCAGGAGCAGTGTGCATACAATTTAGGAGGCACTGAGCTGGATGAGTTCCTCTGGCCTACTTCAGAGGTCAATTCTGATCATCGTTTCATCAATTGATTGTTGATTAGTTTGATTAGTTCCACTTTGATGAGCTTAGAGTACTGGATCTAGTTCCCATTTCGATTGTGGTTTCATTTTCATAGATCATATTGTGTACTTCTATGAATTAACATGCAACAAATTTACTATCATCCGATCCCATACAAAGTGATCCATCTCTTATCTACAAATTTATTCATATTCTTTTGTTTGTTCGGCACCAAGATAAGAGATACATTAATTTTCTAGCATTAGATATTATTTTAAATTATTACGGTTTATTATGATTTGGGATATTAATGTGTAGTATTTTGCAAGATTTAGGATTATTATTAAGGATATTTGACAATTCGTATGGCCTGAACTTTGACCAAAATAAACATCCTGGCCAATCTTTTTGATCTATAACATTCTGGCCTGAACTATACACCAAAATAAACAATTTGGCCAGATCCGACTTTTGACCGTTAACTTGGACAGTCAAACGCGTTGACCGTTAGTCAACGTGCCATGTCACTGCCAAGTCAACATAAAATATTTAAAATAATTCACAATTTCACACATTCCCTAATTTTAAATTATTATAAATTAAAAAAACATCTAATACCTTAGTTAAACCAAAAATAAAAAAACAAAAAAAAATAAATATTTATCAGATCTTCTGACTTGGCAGTGACGAGGCAGTGACGTGGCGAGTTGACCGTTAGTCAATGCATTTGACCGTCCAAGTTAACGGTCAAACATCGGGTTTGGCCAAATTGTTTATTTTGGTGTATAGTTCGGGCCAGGATGTTATAGATCGAAAAGATTAACCAGGATGTTTATTTTGGTCAAAGTTCAGGCCATACGAAAATATTAATCCTTTTTATTGTAAATGCTGAATTATAAGTATGTAACCATGTGTTGGGATTATTATGGAATCTCTCGTGAATTTCTTTTTCTCTCCCTAGCTAAGGCCTCCCTCAAACGTTCGTCTAAATCCCTAATTCTATCATTAGATCTTTCTAAATCTAGTTCCAAAATCCGTGTCTCCTCATTAAGCTTTTAGACTTGATTGTACTTACACCACATGAATGCATCATGTCTCCGCCTTATTTTATAATCCACATTGTACATCACATTCACACTTGCACTATATTAGACCGAATCGTACCATATCACGGAAAAAATCCAAAAGTACCACTGTTTAAAAAAAAAATTCCAAAAATACCACCCAATCTCAAAAAATTCCAAAAATACCACCCTTTTTCAAAAACCGCCACTCCACCCAGCGGTTTGGTCGAAAACCGCTTGTCGGGGGCGCGGTTTTGGACCAAACCGCGGGCCTAGGGGGCGGTTACAAAAAAAAAAAAAAATTGGACCAAAACCGCTGGGTGGGGTGGCGGTTTGGCCCAAAACCGCCACCCCAACCAGCGGTTTGGTCCAAAAGTTCGGTCGAAACTTCAAACGAACGTAACTTTGCACTCGGGTATCCTATCGTAGCGATTTTTTTTTCATTTCGCATAACTTTTCAAGATCTACAACTTTTACTAGGATGAAATTTTCAAAACAGGAACTATTTGTGGATATACGGGACCTTGAGAATAACTTTACCTTTACTTTTCAGAAATCCATGTACATTTTGAAATTATGATTATATTAAAAGTTGTAAATCTTGAAAAGTTATGCAGAATCAAAAAAAAATTCATGACATTCGGAGTTTGGAGCACAAAGTTATGACCGCCCAAAGTTTGACGAAATAAAAAAGGTCGTTCGGGGTGGCAAATGACGTTTTTTCGAGACGAAGACGGAACCCGACTGTTTGAGACTTGCAAGATCTCAAAAATTTATTCGGATTCAAAAAATGGAGGCCGCAAACTTTTTGAGATCTTGCAAGCCGCAAACCGCCGGGTCTCGCCTTTCGTCAAACTTTGGGCGGCCATAACTTTGTGCTCCAAACTCCGAATGTTATGAACTTTTTTTTGATTCCGCATAACTTTTCAAGATCTACAACTTTTAATATAATCATAATTTCAAAATGTACATGGATTTTTGAAAAGTAAAGGTAAAGTTATTCTCAAGGTCCCGTATATCCACAAATAGTTCCTGTTTTGAAAATTTAATCCTAGTAAAAGTTGTAGATCTTGAAAAGTTATGCGAAATGAAAAAAAAATCGCTACGATCTGATACCCGAGTGCAAAGTTACGTTCGTTTGAAGTTTCGACCGAACTTTTGGACCAAACCGCTGGTTGGGGTGGCGGTTTTGGGCCAAACCGCCACCCCACCCAGCGGTTTTGGTCCACTTTTTTTTTTTTTTATAACCGCCCCCTAGACCCGCGGTTTGGTCCAAAACCGCGCCCCCGACAAGCGGTTTTCGACCAAACCGCTGGGTGGGGTGGCGGTTTGGCCCAAAGGGTGGTATTTTTGGAATTTTTTGGGGTTGGATGGTATTTTTGGAAATTTTTTTTTTAAACAGTGGTACTTTTGGATTTTTTCCCCATATCACAGAGACAAATACCGAATTGTTAAATTTTCAATAGTTACATTACTAAGAAACTAGTTTCTTAGAAAAAAGAAAGGAACTTGTCTAGTAATGATAAGTTCTTGACTTCTAGATGGGGAGAGTCACTGGAAAAAATATAACTGATGCCTTTATTTTTCATTTTTCTTCAAAAGTAATGACTTTGCATGTGATGAAGATGATGTCAATTGGGGATTAGATACTAGATAGACAATTATTTCTCCCAAGTCCCAAGAAATTAAGAAAACATGGAAGAATGATAAATTGGTTAGATATGAACAAATGTAAATAAATGGGTGGCTGTGCTGACTGCTGACTCTTCTTTCTAAGGCATTCATAAACTTATATGACTTTCTCTACTTAATTTCTAGACTAGACAACAGCTGATGATCATCATCTCTTCCTTCGTTGTTTACTTCTTGTAAGGAAGCTGCAACTCCATAAATATATGTGGTTCTGGAATCATATTGCACAGCAGCAGCAGCAGCAGCAGCAGCCACCTGGAGTGGGAAAGATAACCTAACCTAACCCTTATCCTTATGATTGGCAGTTTGGCACCTATCAGGCTCATATATAGTTCACGCATACAGGAGGAATAGTAGGGATAAGTTTGGGTGGCAATTAAAAGCGCAATCTTGTCTGTTTGTCAAATTTAGGAACCTCTCACATTAGGTGTAGACAAGAGAATAAGATACAAGAGATTAGAAAGGGAGAGAAGAAAAAGAGAATTGCTCCTCTTTCGATTTATTAGGATTGTTTCGATAATGGAATTAGATGAGGTTTGGTTCAACTGTCTCAAATGAATTAATTGAGTTAACTTGTATAATTTGGCAAACACAAAATAGAGATGAAGTAATTGGCCGTTGAGGCTATTTGAATTATTTTGATTTGAATCCATTTGAATTTACACGAGGGAGGATAAAATATTTCGAAACGATGCATCATTTGTGAGATGATGTAATTTCGAGACAATCGGGTCAAATTATTACCTCATTTATAAAATTCATCACTCAAAGGATCCCGTATTTCTTTTCATGGAGCAGTTCATCGATCATGCTGTCGAGTAATAAAAGAAAGAGAAAATCTACTTATAAAATTTTTCCTTGTCTCCACGTAGCGGTCGCGCAACGTTCCGAGCACGCACATTTGCCAGCACGTTCTCACAGATAGGTAATGTTTTCATCAGTAACAACGTGCAATCAGTTATGCTACTATCTACCATATACGTGTCTAATTTTACTATTAGTTTTGTTCTATCTGTCAACAAAATTCAACTTATGGTAGCTATTGATTATCCATAGATAAAGAAATGGTTGATTGAGTATACTTTCAAAAGCAGTGTGTATTTCGTCTCTTGGAACCAAGTCGTGGAGTGGGTGAGAGGGATGAATATAAGCGTGGTTTATACTGAAGCAGCTTGCGGTATAAAGGGGAAGTGTTCTATCAAGTCAAACTAAGTACGTAGCAGCAGCAAGTTTAATTTGTTCTAATTTATGAGGTTTGCCGTACCGACGCCGCCCAACCAACGGAACGGAACGGAACGGAAGTTTGTCAATACTACTACTGCCAGATAGTTAGTCGGGTTGACTTTAGCATCCACCCCTTCCTTGGACTTGCGTAATTAAGTTGCTTGACTTTTCGATTAATCCTCTTTTCTTTTCCTAATCACAATTCACAACTGATTCCCTTTTATATATATAATGGGTTTCTTTACGATAGATAGAATCTCAGTCAAAGGGGTTTGTTTGTTGTTTCTTGAGGTTAGGTAACAATATAAGGTAAGCACTGACGACTCTCAATCACTACTCTTGATCATCTCTTCTCTTCATGTGAATATAAAGCTCATAAACTAGCTCTCATCATCTCACTCCGTTTGAATTTCTTTCCTTCTAGGTGGCTGGACTTTTATGTATATATCCTTCTTTCCCATTCTTCAAACTGAGGTAGACCGCGAGTCATCAAACTGTCGTCGATTTTGTGGTTGTGAAGGCTGATGAATTTTATTATATGGTCAATCAATAGGCGAAAGTAAAAAAAAAATTCTTATAAATGAATGGACTAGTGCGTAACGTTGTTTTCGTCAACCCATGTGACATTGAAAAAATTTCATTTTTTTTTCATCTACATTGTCTATATGAAAGCGAAATACAAAAAACACGCATGCATCTTCGTCCCAAAATTTTTGCCTTACATTTCACACACCTTTTTCACATGTATTTTCTTTCCAAATGTGTAGGGTAGGGTGTTTGTATGAAGAAAAAAAAAACATGCATGATCTAAACAAGGTTTTGAACACCTAGAATATGGGCTGTAATAATGTCCTATTTATTATTCTGAGTAGTAGGAGGTGGCTAGATAGTCAAGAAAGTCAAAATGGATCGGGTTTATAGGTAAGAAATTGCACCAAACCAACTTGTTTGTTTCAACATACAAGACCACATAGAGTTTATGATTTTATGTTATATTTGTACGTGTAATATAGTGGAACGCATCAATTTGGTCACTCTAACGACTGGCCAAAGGGGGGAAAGGAAGGGCAGCCAAAATTCCCAACAAACCCTAAAACC